AGTCTCCTCGTTCTCCCTCTCCACTCCAAAAAAACTATTTTTATTTTTCAGGAACATTTTAGATATAAACAATTCTTTTTCCTTAGATTTTCCTATTTCCCTCAGTACCTCCCCTCTTCTAAAATATCCAAATACGTTCATTTTTTCCGAGGGATGCGCAAACAATGAAACATGACATAAATTAAAATTTCTCCTATTAATTCTATTTGTCACCACTGTATCCAAACCCCAACATTCATTTGTTTATACATATATACGTGCGCGCACAATACATGCCAAACAGTTTTTTTCCCTCTCCGTTGTCTTAAAATATCTAGAAATATTACTTTAATTAGGTTTGTCCAGAACTTCTCTGGAATTATTTTAAAACTCAACTGATTTCTTGAAACTAATTAGCCCAAAGGTCCTCAGATCTCCAGGGTCATCCTACAACCTTAAATTGGTGTCTTTGAACTTCTTCTAGAGATACCCAGCCAAGCCTCTTTGATTTTAAGGTAAGGTCATGGGTGTGGGATGGACGATGGCCAGCCTACATCTTTTAAAGCAGATTTCGAGGCCCTCTGAGTGTTAGGAACTCTATTTGTGTTTTCCCATTTAATCCTTGTAAGAACTCGGTGAGATAAGCTCTGTCAGATCTTTTTACCTACAAGGAAACAGGCTTGGGGAGGTTGTGCTAGTTTTGTTAGAGTCGAAGTTGCACATTTAAAGAAGGAATGCGTCTGATTGACTGGGCCTTTGCACAGAGAACCTAGACTCACAAGGCACCAACAAAGCAAAAACAAGCTTTAGTACTGTCTCTAAGACCTGCCTACGTTCAGTGGGGAAGAAAGAGAAAGCTCCGTAATCCAACAGGGATAAAGGGTTTCAGCTTCGTGTAGGACACAGGGCTTGCTCAAGCAGGGGAGGGGCGTGTGTGACAACTTTTCCAGTAACCGGCAGGCTCTCAGGGACACCGGGTCTTGCCTCATCTGGTGAAGAGAGGCAGGACATCTGGTGAGGGGTGTCTCGGTGTCGCAATAGCCGTGACACAGACAGCATATGTGTCCTGTTGCCTCAGCTGTCACAGAGAGGCTATTGGGTCCTCTTTATCTCTGGGGCCAATATGAGGCTCCCCACCCCCTCTTCCCTCCGTCTTTCTTTGGGTGGAATCCTGGCTTTTCCTGAGAATTGCCAGGCACTCGGGGGCTGGACAATGGGCATCAATAACCCCTTTAAAAATATATATCTTTAACAAATCTCGCATATCCTCACTCATATGTAGGAACTAAATATTAAAGACAATTGCTGTCATGGAGACAGAGAGTAGAACGAGCCTGGGAAGGGTATTAGAGAGGAGGGTAAAGTGGCAATGGTTAATGGGTGCAAAAATATAGTTAGATAGATAGAATGAACAACATTTGATAGCACAGTAAAGTGACTATAATCCGCAATAAGTTAGGGTATACTTTAAAGTAACTCAAAGAGTGGAATTGGAATGTTCCTAACAAAAGAAATGATAAATGCCTGAAGTGAGGGATACCCCAGTTACCCTGATTTGATTAATTCACATTGTTTGCCTGTATCAAAACATCACATGTATCCTATAAA